CCATAGACTCATCACTACCCATAGACTCAACACTGCTCATAGACTAAACACTGCCCATAGACTAATGCTACCCATAGACTCAACACTGCCCATAGACTCATCACTACCCATAGACTCAACACTGCCCATAGACTCAACACTCCCCATAGACTCAACACTACCCATAGACTTAACACTACCCATGGACTTAACACTACCCATAAACTCAACACTGCACATGAATCATTGCAGTCACGAAAGCTTTAAATCGAAACTGCACATAGACTCAACACTGCTCATAGACTCAACACTGCCCATAGACTCAACACTGCCCATAGACTCAACACTGCCCATAGACTCAACACTACCCATAGACTTAACACTACCCATAGACTCAACACTGCTCATAGACTCAACACTGCCCATAGACTCAACACTGCCCATAGACTCAACACTGCCCATAGACTCAACACTACCCATAGACTTAACACTACCCATAGACTCAACACTGCCCATAGACTCAACACTGCACCGCCGATGGGCACGGTTGGCTCCGTACGGTGCGGAAGAAATTCAAAATTCATACTTACATATTGGACAACAATGTGTGCCCCCTAGTGTGTGAGGATAAGAGGTCACTTGCAGGTATCTCTAACAGGGGGTGATGCACTGCTTACTGTGTGAGAGCTAACGAATGGACGGTTTCTCTCATGACAAAGATACCGATGTCGCCATTAGAATACAATGGCAAAAAGATACCAAAAGAAAGGTACATTTATTGGAATCTAATATACAGCCCTTCATCAATCTGCTGCCGTGAGTGTCATCATTGTCGGCGCAAATTAAATAACATCCTCTCAGGGACACAGGCAGGTTTAAATCTAAAACATTGCTCGAATTCATGTGTACACGTGATTTTTCTTACGTTTTTTCTTGTTGCAAAGGCAACAAATGATGCCATATCTAGCCTGCTCCGTTAAGTCCTCACCTCGTTAATGCAACGATCTTTTCTCACAGGACTTCCAGGTGATGAACCTCCTGGGAAAGGGTTCATTCGCGTGCGTGTACCGCGCACGCTCCTGCCACACGGGCATCGAGGTGGCCATCAAGATGGTGAGCATCGCTACAGGCAGACAAGAATCACTACAGACAGACAAACATCACTACAGGCAGACGAGCATCGCTATAGGCAGACAAGCATCGCTACAGGTAGACATGCATCACTACAGGCAGACAGGCATCGCGATGGGCAGACAAGAATCGCTACAGGTAGACGAGTATCACTACAGGCAGATGAGCATTGCTACAGGCAGACGAGCATCACTACGAGCAGACGAGCATGGCTACGGGCAGACAAGTATCACTAAAGGCAGACAGCCATCGCTCCAGGCAGACAAGCATCGCTATGGGCAGACGAGAATCGCTACAGGCAGACAAGCATCGCTACGGGCAGACAAGCATCGCTACGGTCAGACAAGCATCGTTACAGGCAGACGAGCATCGCTACAGGCAGACAAGCATCCCTACAGGCAGACGAGCATCGCTACAGTCAGATGAGCATCGCTACAGGCAGAAAAGCATCATTACGGGCAGACGAGCATCGCTACAGGCAGACGAGCATCGCTACAGGTAGAGAGGCATCACTACAGGCAGACAAGCATCACTACAGGCAGACGAGCATCACTACAGGCAGACAAGCATCGCTACAGGCAGACAAGCATCGCTACAGGTAGACGAGTATCACTATAGGCAGACGACCATCACTACAGGCAGACAGGCATCGCGATGGGCAGACGAGAATCGCTACAGGTAGACGAGTATCACTACAGGTAGACAAGCATTACTACAGGCAGACAATCATTACTACAGGCGGACGATCATTGCTACAGGCAGACGAGCATCGCTACGGGCAGACGAGCATGGCTATGGGCAGACAAGCATCACTAAAGGCAGACAGGCATCGCTACAGGCAGACGAGCATCGCTACAGGCAGACAAGCATTGCTATGGGCAGACGAGAATCGCTACAGGCAGACAAGCACCACTATAGGCAGACGAGCATCGCTAGAGGCAGACAAGCATCGCTCCAGACAGACGAGCATCTCTACAGGCAGACAAGCCTCTCTACAGGCAGACAAGCAATTCAAGGGGCGTTGGTGGTGGCTACGTGGCTTTCACCTCGCTTTCCACTGGCGTAACCGAACCGCGTCGGGGCCATACTGGGCTCGGCCTTCATGGGCCAAGAGGCAGGGGGGAGGGTTTTTGTTTTTCCCACTGCAGAGAAGCTGAGCTGTGCCACCGGCGCCACACACAATGCATGCGACACGGGTTATGTTCATTTTCGTTCATGGAGACATGCGTTTAGGGCATTTGCCTACTGGAAACTTCCATTGGGCTATCACGCCGCTTTTTAAAAAAACCTGTGCAGCTCAGCGGGCCCTACCTGGTAAAATAAAATTAGTTTTTGGGTTTTAACTTAGGGCTTAGATCGGCGTGAATTGCTTTGCACGGCGTTTGAGTGAATGCTGGTGTCTCAGATTGACAAGCAGGCGATGCGGAGGGCAGGCATGGTGGATCGCGTTCCGTGCCGAAGTGGAGATCCCACTCACAGCTCAAGCATCCCGCGATTTTGGAGGTGGGTGGACGCGCACAGCAGACACTGCTCACCGCTCAATGGAGAACTGCCACCATGGCACTTGAACCAGTTAGGTGCACGCGCTTTAAGAACCAGGTGAAGTGGCAAGGCTCGCCGCCAGGAGGTCTGGGACAGACCAGATGTATGTATGTTGAACTTCTTTCGCACTATACATAACCAACCGTGCTAATCGGAGGTGCGGGGAAAGGACAACAAACTAAACACAACAAGCAGTTGTAAAGAAATGGGTTTTTCACTGTAGATGTAAAGTGCATAGCTCCCCGTGGCTCCTAATATTGGAAGGAAGAGCATTCCAGACGGCCACGGAATCCCATCCAACAGCGCAAGACGCGGTGACCGTCTTCGTTCGATGGCCAGACCAAAAAGCCGCTGCTGCTGCACGGATGGCCGCAGTTCGCGTGACGGTGGCTCATGCTATTTGACGAGATCAGCAAAGGTGTTGTGGTCCGTTTGTGGCAACAACTTTGTAGTGTGTAATAAGATGCAGCGGCATAGCGTGGCATGGGCTACAGTGGCCTGGTGCGTCGGCCTCTCCAGTGAGTGGGCCCTGGCACAGTTGCCCCGGCTGCCCTCTCGACAATTACGCCAACGCCCAGATGCGCTACCGCCCCACTGGACATCTGTGTAAAAAGAGCTGTATAGCTCATCTGATTCCTCATGCAGTATAAATAAATATTCTGATTCTGAAACTCTGTTCCTCGGGACTTGCCATGGAACAGTGATGGGTCTTCCCGAGTTCACAAATTAAACTGCTTTGAGTGGAAGGCGCACAGTGAATATAAATTAGATTCAGATAGAGATCTTGTGTGTGCATCCATAACAAAGGTGTTGGGTCAGATTGCGTAAATATAAATGTGTCGTTAAACCCGCCAGCACCCAACACAGCCAATGTGTAAGGTTTGTCACGTAAACAAAACGTGCCAATTAGTTACTAGTTCAGCACACCGGTGTGTGGAAGAGTAAACCCACACCATTTACAATTCAAGTACACCTTTGCCATTAAATACAACTAGCATCATCGAGGCGACAATATTAGTGGAAAAATCCTGCTGCAACAGTCTTAAATAGAGGGTATGAATGTGATCTCGTCACTTGTGTGCCAAACTTTGCGAGTGTACAATTTCACGTGTCTAGCGATATCACGTTCATAGACCTGAACTTTTTGGCATGTAGTGGCGCTGATCTGCTAAAACAAACACACTGAATAACGTGAGGTGTTTTTTTTTCTTCCAGAACGATAGGCTACCGTGGGTTAATAGTGACAGAATCAGAATATTTATTTGTACTGAGGAATCCGATGAGCGATAAAGCTCTTTTTTCACAGATATCCAGTAGATCGCAGGACCACGGAAGGATAACAGGGCTTTTCACTGCGTGGCCGCATGAAATGCTTGGAAGCCGAGCGATGACCGATGGGGGTCTCGTCTATCCCCCGGTTGATGACGGAGTGGCGTCGCTGGTCCGCAGATGTACGGCTGCTTCGAGGATGACAACTACGTGTACCTGGTGCTGGAGATGTGCCACAACGGGGAGATGAGCCGCTACCCTCAAAATCAAGGCGCCCCTTCACCGAGGAGCAAGGTGGCCCACACGCACGGGGGAGGGGTGGGGGGCGTGTACACGAAGATTTCCGCATTTTCCCCCGATTATGATCAATTAACGACTTCGTACATTTGGCATTTGCGTTATTCTTACAGGCACAGGCGCTGCGTTTCACAGACATTTGCCTGCAGTGGTTTCGCAGTATGGGGTGCAGATGTTTGCTCGTTGTCAGTGGTACTCAATCGGGGTACGGTGGATCCCTGGGGGTTACGTGGCAATGTCCACCAGGGGAGTAGTGAGGTGATTTATGCGTGAAATTATATCATACATGAGAGCCATTGGTGAATAATCACGTGTGTTATCTGCCAAAAAAATAACTACGATAAGATTAAAATCCATAGTCGTAGCCTATAAAGATATTAAAGACCTTATAAACTCATTGATCATGAACAATGTCGATTTCCAAGAGTAACCAGCGAGCACGAACACGTTACGTCACGCATGCAGGCCGTCCGTTGATTTTTTTGTTTTATCTGCTTTCAATTACTCGCTAGTTAGGATACCTCACAAAATGGACAATTGGTTAAAATATTGATGATGTTCACTATTAATACATTTATAGTGAAGAACCATGTTGGGTCAGGCAAGGGGTGAGAACCGCTGCTCGATGTAATCCTAATTAAGTAACTTGAAGGTCATTTTTCACATTTGGCTAATTTTTGTGCAACAGCGTTTCCCTCAACTTTTGTGGGCCAGAGATCACTTGTAGGGGTCTCAGATGTGGCTTCCGTGACATCCACTTACATGGGGTCACTGTCTATGGATGACGCTTTTTACCGTCCCTGCACAGAACCCAAATTGACATTTCCTCTCATGGCACGTTGCCATGGCTATAGCAGTAGTGGCAAGTAATATTGGGTTGGCCCCCTCTCACCAACTCTAATTACACCGATGGGAGAGGCCTACATCTAGTGGTGATTTTGATGAAGGGATTTTTGTTGTTGTAAATTGAAATAAAAGGTTTGTCCAAGTCTTTCATGGGATAATCTTTTTTTAAAGAAGGTATAATTTAGTTATTTTTTATGTACCCTATCAATTGTCCAATCTCTTTCTATCCACAAATAAACAATGAACCTCTTCAAGTAAACCTGTCCTGCACACCCGCTGAATGGCACATATGTCCTGTGCTGTGAGTCATGACTGCTGGCACATCCCTAGTCAGGTGGTGTGGCCAAAGCGATGTAAGGGAGCTGCTGGATTTGTGTCCAGCCTCTTTGGGCTTTGTGGGTTCAATTCCCGCTAAGTTTCTATTTTTTTAGAAAATTTAAAATAATTAATACCGCTGCAATACCAAATAATGACAATACATTCCTACGTGTTTTGTTTTAACTGACCGTCGATGTGTGGCACAATAACGTAAAGGTGCATTGACTGGAACGAATGACCGGCATGGTGAAGTATATTTAACAAACCCCCGTGACCAACAGGGCAAGTTGGTGAAGGGATAGGTGGCACTTGGCCATATAAAATATGCCACACTTTACCAATTCACTGCAGGAGGAAAGCCTTTCCACAATGTTAATTTACATGGATTGTTTGACCATACTTCTCCACGTATGTAGGTACGTACGTTGAACTTATTCGCACCGTATGTAGCCAACCGTGCTAATTGGAGGTGTGGGGGAAGGACAACAAGCTAAACACAAAAAGCAGTTCTAAACAGAAATGAGTTTTCAATCTAGATTTTTAAAATCAGAGTTGGTGAGAGAGGAACCCTGCAATTATAAATCAAACTCACATGTACGTACGCATGCATCCTGAACTTTTTTGCACCGTACGTAGCCAACCATGCTGATAGTGCCCGCACGCTAACTACTGGATTACTGCTCGATCGCTGCATATTTACACCCCTCATTGTTTAATTAAAAGCATTCATGATCCAGTGAGTGCTATGCCGACAGACGTGACTCACAAGACTGGACTCTTACAAGGGATCTCAGAATTAGTAGTTCCGTGATGTCTGCCACAGGGAAATGGGCCCTCGTTCTGGGCAACATAATGTTTGCGACTGGTGTGGCCCGGTGGGTTTAGCATGCTTGCACTATTAACCTGGAGACCTGGGTTCTGATTCATGCCCTGGCTATAGCAGTGGTGAGAAGTAAATATTGGGTGGCCCCCTCTCACCAACTCTAATTACACCATGTGGAGGGGCCGACATCTAGCAGTGATTTGATGAAGGGATTTTTTTTTTGTAAATTGAAATAAAAGGTTTGTCCAAGTGTTGAAAGAAGGTATAATTAACTTTTTTTTATCTACCGTATCAAATGTCCAATCTTTTTCTATCCACAAATAAACAACGCCCTGTTCAAGCAACCCATCTGTCTGCACACCCGCTGAATGGCACAGATGTCCTGTGCTGTGAGTCATGACTGCTGATACATCCCTCGTCAGGTGGTGTGGCCAAAGTGAGCTAAGGCGCTGCTGGATTTTGTGTCCAGCCTCTTTGGGCGTGTGAGTTCAATTACCACTGAGCTTTTTTTATATAATAAATTAAAATAATTAATACCGCTGCTGCGCAAAATAATGACAATACATTCCTACGTGTTTGCTTTAACTGACCGTCAATGTGTGGCACAATAACGTAAATGTGCATTGACTGGAACGGATGACCGGCATGGTGAAGTATATTTAACCAACCCCCGTGACCAACAGGGCAAGTTGGTGAAGGGATAGGTGGCACTGGGCCGTATTAAATATGCCACACTTTACCAATTCACTGCAAGAGGAAAACCTTCCCACAATGTAAATTTACGTGGGTTGTTTGACCATACATCTCGACGTATGTAGGTATGTATGTTGAACTTCTTTCGCGCTGTACGTAGCCAACCGTGCTAATCGGAGGTGCGGGGGAAGGACAACAAGCTAAACAAAAAAGCAGTTCTAATGATAAATGAGTTTTCAATCTAGATTTTAAAATCAGAGTTGGTGAGAGAGGAACCCTGATATTATAAATCAAACTCACATGTACGTACACATGCTGAACTTTTTTTGCACCGTACATAGCCAACCGTGCTGATAGTGCCGCACGCTAACTACTGGATTACTGCTCGCTCGCTCCATATTTACACCCCCTCATTGATTAATTAAAAGCATTCATAATCCAGCGAGTGCTATGCCGACAGACGTGACTCACAAGACTGGACTCTTACAGGTATCTCAGAATTAGTAGTTCCGTGATGTCTGCCACAGAACAACGGTCCTTCGCTCTAGGCAACATAATATGTTGTTTGCTACTGCGTTTGACAATGATGGAAAAGCACAGACAACAACCCTCACATTTGTCAATTATATAATAGGTATGTTTGTGGCAATTGCCCTTGTTCAGGTGCTGTGAAGAAGAGCCGCTGGCCAAAATATCACCAATTATATATTTTTCTTTTGAGGCCACGGTGTTATTGAAGAATATGTTGACGGGTTTTTTTGGTCCTTATCACATCGATAGATGCCAGAGAGTTTAAGTGACTAAACGTTGGAGACTGGCTCATTATGATGACGATTATTTTAAGTTAGTTTTCCCAGCTCTAGAGTGGTATAATCATTTGAAGCAAGGTATAATTTAGTTTGTTTTTGTATCCATAGTTTGTCCAATCCCTTTATATTAAAATTTATAGGGTGTATTCATGCAAGCAAGCTGCTTACACACCCACTGAATGACACAAATGTCCAGTGCCGTGAGTCATGTCTGTTGGCATGGCACTCACTATTCTTGTTTACACGTATGAAACTAGATGGTTGTGTATGCGTGCCAGTTAGTGTGCGAGAGCTGTCTAAGGTGCTGGATTAAGGTGGCAGTCTCTTCAGACGTGTCAGTTCAAATCCTGCTGTAGGCTTTCGCGACCAATATTATCCGTAATAGAGGGGTGTCATTAAATCCGCCACCAGCCAATACAGCCAAATTAGTAAGATTTGTCACGTAAACAAAACATCGCAATTCGTTACTAGTTCAGCACACTGGTGTGTTGGAGAGTAAACCCACACAATTTACAATTCGAGTATGATGTTTTGCCGGTAATTACCACCGCTACCATCGGGTGACAGCCAGAATTCTCGTGAATACCAAATTTGGAACATGATTTTGGCCTACGAAAACCTATCTATTTATGAATTACCTTAAATAATACAGTACAATCTATCACATCACTTTATCTCTCACCTCTTTAACTGATCACCTTATCTCTATTACTTTATCTCTCATCGCTTTCTCTCTCCTCGATCCAGTCCAGTAGAGTTCCAGATGCCATTCGCGGACAGCCAAAATCACGCATGGAAAGTTCGTGAATAACGAATAAATACTGTGTGTACATCCAGAGAACAACCATTCGGCCCACCGTGTCCATTTCCTAGGTTCCCGTTTTTGGAGAGAGCGAGAGAGGTGTTGTCTTTTGTAGTTCGGAGCCAGCAAAGGTGCAGAAAAATGAATGAACATACTTTTCAAAAAAGAGCATCCATACCTGTCAACCCCATATCAGTGCCTACCTTATTACAGACCAATTCAGACCTTATTGGTCACCCCATGCCTTTATAAATCTCAACGTTCATCCTACAAATTCCCATCACAAGGGAGAAACAGAAACAAATAGACCAAAAAAATGTGCCCGTATTGAAACGGCTGTACACTGTATCGACCTGAAAACTCAATTTCCCTGTACAAGAATATGGGTAAACTGTATGCGTTGACAGGTATGAACATCACTGTCATGATCATTTCCTTCAACCATTGTGCAAACCACTGCTAGATGAAGGCCTCCCCAAGCTGCCACATTTCAAGATCCTAATAAATGTACTATTGACTATTTTACTATTTTTATTTAACCAGGTAAGGCCCATTGAGCTATACAGCTTTTATTCAGAAGTGACCTGGCCACAATTGATAGCTCAATGGAGTGGCTTATTACGTGGACATTTATAGCAGCCAAATGCTCTAAACCAGGGGTCGGCATACCTGTGGCTCCGGAGCCGCGTGTCTCTTTCAGGACTGCTTCGTGAAGTCATATATGAAGGAGAACCGTCTCGTATTAACCATAGTGCATTGCGGCTCTTGGAATGTTGAGGGTTTTTTTTACCAAATTAGAAAAAATTGTCTCTTTTTGCTATCTTGGTTGCTAACCCCTAACTTCGGATGCCCGTGGCCCCCCTCGCCCCCGTTCCACTTTCCGCCCACCCCCCCGCCCGGCCGCCCTCCACAAGCGCGCCAATTCCTGCGTGAGATCTCCTCGGGGCTGCTCTACCTGCACAGCGCACGGGGTCATCCACCGCGACCTCACGCTCGCCAACCTGCTCCTCGCCTCCGACATGTCGACGCGCATCGCCAGACTTCGGCCTGGCGGCGCGGCTGCCCTTGCCCGGCGAGTCGCGGCTCACCGTGTGCGGCACGCCCAACTACATGTCGCCCGAGGTGGCGTCGCGAGGCCCGCACGGTACCCCCGCCGACGCGTGGGCCCTCGGCTGCGCGGCCTACGCCATGCTGGTGGGGCGTCCGCCCTTTCAGGCGTCCGCCGTCCCGGCCACGCTGGCGCGCGTCATGCTGGCGCGCTTCGAGCTGCCGCCGACGCTGTCGCCCGCAGCCCGCGACCATCCTGCGCCGGCTGCTGCGGCGAGACCCCGGCAAGCGGCCAGGCCTGCCCGCCGTGCTGGAACACCCGTTCCTGGCAGACGGCGGCGGCGAGACGACGGCCGGGCTGATGGCCGGTCCGCCACTTCGGCCGGGAGACGAGGGGTCGCTGGACAGCGGGAACGCCACCATGACGGCGCCGGTGGACGAAGGCGACGACGAGAGGGAGGCGCGGGCGCCCGCGGAGGGAGACGGCGGCAGGGAGGGGGGAGGAGGAGGAGCGAGCGCGGATGCCCGTTTGGACGGGCACGAGGCTGTTGCTCAACCACCAGCAACGGCAGACTTTCTGCAGCCACAAGAGAATGGTGCAGGTGATGGTGATGATGAGGGCTGCAATGAAGTTTAGTTTTTCCTGTCGGGGAAATTACCAATTGGATCGTGGCCAATGATCAAGGTGGTGTTGATATTATCTCCATTATATATACTTACTAGTGGGAAGTACCCGGCGTTGCCTGGGTCAAAAAAATATTTCCAACGTACTCTTAAAAATCAAACAGTAGTGCATACTGACTGTGGTGGTACCTGCTATGATTACAGCAGTGCATACCGACTGTGGTGGTACGTGCTATCACTACAGTAGTACATGCTGACTCTATAGCAGTATTTACCGACTCTATAGTACAAAGTACTCACCTGACAGTGTGGCGTGGTGAGGTCTAGTCCCGTGCAGAGCCTCCGGCCTTACCTAGATTGTCCAGCCAGCCGAGGTGGAACCTTGGCAAGCTGGGGCTGGGCTGCTACCCCTGACCCCCCCTCCCCAGCCACGATCTCCCCGGCCGCTGTGCAGTAATATCTACGGCCTATAGTGGTAACATCTAGTGACTGTATAGTAGTAATAACTGCATGCATTGGGGTGGGGGGGGACAACAAACAGTGAAGAAATAACGTCAGCGTTTAGTGTATTTTTATAGCATTTTTAACGCAAAAGAAAATGTCCCCCTCACTCCCACCAAAGGCGTGCGTCTTGGCATGGGCCCTCCCCCCCACCAAAGGCGCGTGAGTTGGTAGGGTCGTGCATGCGTCATAAATAAATAAATAAATGGGAAGTGCACTAAAATCGCACTAAATCGCTAAGTAAACTAATTTAAAGTTGACGGATGTGAAAAGGAAATAGCGCTTGCTCACGGCCGGGCTTACGGCGTGGTACCTGGCTATTTTTATTTTACGTAAACCCCACCATTGGAGAGCCAAATCCTTCGCAAGCGCGCAAACACACAAACCCACACACAAACCCCGCCACAAACCCACACACAAATTTTGACTTTTATAAAAAGATAGATTTTGTATCATACAGTATCAAACTGTTTCATTGTAATATGCAATCTTACTCCACGTATGACCACACCTTTGTGAGGTGGATCACCGTTTCTGTAATTCGGCTGCATGGATGTATGATGACCTTTTTTAACACCGTATGTAGCCAACCACGCTAATTGGAGGTGTGGGGGAATGACAACAAACTAAACACAAAACACAGTCCTAAAGAAATTAGTTTGTCAATCTGGATTATTTTAAAGCGTACAGCCCCAGTGGCTTCCTAATATCGGAAGGAAGAGCGTTCCAGACGACCACAGAAGTGCATCTGACAGCGCGTGATGCAGTGACCACCGTCTTTGTTCGACGGTTAGCCGGCAGCCGCTTCTGCGAGGATGACCGGAGTTCCAGTGATGATGGAGTTCGCGTGATGGTGGGATGTTATCTCCCTCGACTGGTATGCAAGAGGTCGTGGGTTCGATCCCGACCGTGACACCTGCTGTATATTTGGAGTTTGCATTTTCTCTCCGTGGTCATGTGAATTTTTCTCTGGGTCCTCCAGTCTTTCCCTCCACACTTAGAATCAACACGCATTTACAGTATTTGGCTGCTATAAATCTCCATGTGATAAGTGACTTAGTTGCGCCAGCATTTGTGATGGTCTTTTTTTTAAAAGAACGATACAGCTCAGTGGGCCTCAATAAAATAGTTTTAGTTTAAGTTCCTTGACAAAAAAATGCTCGAGCATTGCCACCATTACTTCCCCCCCTCCCCTCTCTCGTGTGCTCCGGTCACCTCAGTGACACTTTAAGATTTTTGTTGTTGTTCACTTTTCCCCCACTTCCCGCAGGCGTCGCCAACGGTGGCCGCACAACGATGGGGCTGGAGGCCGTCGGAGCTCGGCAGCACGATCGGGCCCCGTCAGCGGACGCCCTCTGCCCGGCTCACCAAGGGATCCTTATCAGCGGGCCCGCCGCCCAACTGTGCGGTGGGCCGCAATGTCCCCTGGCAAGGTGGCAGCCCGCTGAGGCAATGGGCGGAAGGGGCGACTCCTGCTGTCACACACCTCCCCACGCCTGCCAAGCCTCCAGGTGAGGTGCTCTCGGACTCCGGTAGCAGGTTAAAGCATTCTGCGGCCTGGGCTATCGAGCGTGCATGTGCACCTCCAATTGACATGGTTGTTCACTACAGTGTGATTATAAGTTCAACACACCTTACGTGCATGCGGTCCAACAAGGGTTGCCACATCTATGAAATAAAACTGGGATATTATCATGGGAATAAGATACAACGTGGAGCGTGGAGGGCCATATGCGAACGTGTTGTCTTGAGCGGTGTATCAAGATGCAACTGACAAATCAGCTCTCGAAAATTGCGGAATTCAAATCCTGCCCAGCAGGCCCTGCTCTGACTCCTTTCAAATGAGCGGGGAGGGGGGGTCAGTAGAGTTGCTGTGTGGGGGAGCTGCCATCACAGTGATACACAGCAGCACCGCTAGGGATAGGGCCCACCCCAGCACTCACTTCATTTTTTTTCATAACGTGGAGAGAAAAACCAGAGGACCCGGAGAGAGACATGCAAAACTCCAAATGTACAACAGGCGTAAGGGTCGGGATCGAACCCACAACTTCCTCCATTCCAGGCAAGGTAGTTAACATCTTGCCACCGTAGCACTAGCCCTGCCACCCAGGGGTCAACGTAGCCCATGGGGTCAAGGTAGCCCAGCGGTCAACGTACCCCATGGGTCAACGTACCCCATGGGTGGGCGTAGCTCAAGAGTGAAGGTATCCCAGGGGTCAACGTATCCCAGGGGTCAAGGTAGCCCAGGGATCAATGTAGCCCATGGGGTCAACGTAGCCCATGGAGTTAAGGTAGCCCAGGGGTCAACGTAGCCCAGCAGTCAACATAATCAAGGGGGCTCGTGAAGGATGCTTTTGGGCAGTTGGACGCAGTCGCCCTCCAACAACAGCAGAGGGCAGAGGAGCGACGCTCACAACAACAAGCAGAGCGCCAGGCGCCTAAAATAGCAACTAGTGGGCACAATAGAGGGCACAGCTGGTGCATCTGTCGGTTGTCTCAGCCGGTCCCGTGACCTCCTGCCAGCAGCGAGCCTTCCGACACTTGACGTGGCCTCAAAGTGCATCTGGCCTGGCACAGACGCCTTGGCGACGTCACTCTCACTAAGTGGCGAATGCTGTTGGTGTTGATCTGTGAATGTGATTTATTTTTTGTCATTGTCGCTCTTCCGCTTGCAATTTGGGATTAACAACGTCGGTAAGTAAAGTTGTTACCTTTCATCGATTGTTATTATTATACAAGCTGACAAGTCACCAGCGAATCAACCACTGTCATTAAATAAACCTGCAAGTGCAACGAATGTCTATGGATGTGCTATGAATCAGGGCCATTGCCTGAAATGTTAACTATTATATACTTTTCCTTTTAAGACCGAGTATGTTTTTTTTACATATTGATAGCATTTTTGATATACAGCACCATTTCGTAGGAGTTATTTGAACACGTATTCAAATACGTGTACAGCAACACCCCGATTTATGCCCTCCCGTTGTTTCGCTATGACGCACCTCCGATCAGCACGGTTGGCTACGTATGGTGCGAAAGAAGTTCAACACATAAATATTCTGCCCAAAGACTAATACTACCCATAGACTCAGAACTGCACCTCCGATCAGCACGGTTGGATACGTACGCTGAGAAAGAAGTTCAATATACATACGTACTGCCCATAGACTAATACTACCCATTGACGAAACACTGCCCATAGACTCAACACGCACCTTCGAATAGCACGGTTGACTCCGTACTCAACTTATTAATACCCAATCCCGTGTTATGTACCGTGGTACCTCGCCATAACGAACTCGACGTTGTACGAACTTCACCGTTGAGCCCCAACATTTTTTTATGTTCCACGGTGAACATTCGTGCACCAGATTCGCGCCACTTACTACTACCTACTACTAGTAGTAGTGGTAGTACTACTAGTAGCAGTAGTACTACTCCTTGTAGTACTACTACTAGTAGTAATAGGTACTACTGTTTAGGAACTGTACCACGTTATGATCCACCATCCCGTCTGTAGTAGTACCACTCCTAGTAATAGGGTAGTACCACTCCTAGTAATAGGGTAGTACCACTTCTAGTAATAGGAGTGGTACTACTAGCAGTTGGTACTACGACACAATAGTAGGTGGTACTACGACGAAAGTGACTTCAGAAGAAGTTCAGTGGCGTCATCTCCCGCTCCCTTCTCTCGCACGGCATGGTGCCACCGCTCACTGGGGAACATCCCTTGTGTGGCTCACGACACAGTTGCAGCGTGCTTGTTAGAATATACACCGCATAAACAAATAAATAAGTTAGGAAGAATCACGAAGATATATCACTTACACACGCGTTTCAACATACAGGGTGTTTGCAAATAGTGGCATTTGTTCTGGTTTGTGTCAAATGTTGTGTAACCCTCTGGTTGCTTTTCAATCGGCTAGATCCCCATACCTGTCAACCCCTTATCAGTGCCCACCTAACTACAGACCAATTCAGACCTTATTGGTCACCCCCTGCCCTGATAAATCTCAACGTTCATCCTACAAAGTCCCATCACAAGGGAGAAACACAAACAAATAGACACATTTTTTGTGCCCGTATTGAAACGGCTGTACGCCGTATGGACTTGAAAACTCAATTTCCCTGTTCAAGAATACGGGTAAACTGTATGAGTTGACAGCTAAGGATCCCTCATAGCAACACACATATGTCCTAAAGTTTGATTCATATTGAATCATCTTAATATCAAAACACATCGGCACGTCCTATAGTTTAATTCCTATTGAATCATCTTAATAGGAACATACAGGCACGTCCTATGGCCTGATTAATATTGAATCATCTTCATAGCAACACACAGGCATATCCTATAGTTTGATTCATATCGAATGATCTTCACCAGCGTTAAGGTGCACCCCCGTAATGGGCCCAAGGACAGAGCTAACACTTAAACGCATTCAACCTTGCGTGCAAAAAAAAGGCATAACTCCGAACGCTTACTGCCAAAGCGTGTGTTTCTAAGCATATGGATTTAAAAATAAAAAAAAGCATTTTAGTTTTTTCAGATGGAATCAATGGGAGGGGCGAGACAGCATGATTATTCATCACATTGGGGGGAGTTCCTTTAACGAGCGGAATTCAACAGCGTTGCCTTGTGCAGGTGCTGCCACGCTACCCAGAATTCCTCCCTGCTGCCGCTCCCCAGCTCGGTGCTGTCCCCCCTCGTGACCCCCGCACGTGGCGTGGGGAGTCCATGTCATGGCGCCGTCGCCGCCGCCGGTGAGTCCGCACCCAGGGGCTTTACAGAGGGTCACGTTCTTTAGACCACACGAGGAGGTATGATGAAGAGAGAGGAAGAGAGAGAAGGAGGTGGAGGAAGAAGGAGGTGGAGGAGGAGGGAGAAGGATGAAGAGGGAAGAGGAGGGAGAGAGAAGAAGAGGAGGTGAAGGAGGAGGAGAAGGAGGGAGGAGAGAGAGGGAAGAGGAGGGAGGAGGAAGAGGAGCGACCAGCCGTCTGGAACGCTCTTCCTTCCGATATTAGGAAGCCACTAGAGCTGTACACTTTCAATTAATCTAGATTGACAAACTCATTTCTTTAGAACCTCTTTTTGTGTTTAGTTTGTTGTCCTTCCCCCACACCTCCGATGAGCACGTTTGGCTACGTACGATGCGAAAGAACTTCAACATACATACAAAGTCATCTAACGTCATTATATCATCTTCTTGGTTCTTTCGGTAAAGTCACGTAGAATGGAAATAAAATAATACAAATAAAACATAATAAAATAAACTAAAAATTATTTTATTTCTATTCTACGTGACTTTACCGAAAGAACCAAGAAGATGAATCCCTGCAGTCACGAAAGCTTTAAATCGAAATTCATTATATCACTTACCAACAACTGAAATGGATATAAATCTTAAGGCTCAAATATCCTTTATGTTTAGATCGTTGCACGGTAGAAACAAAGACGGCATTCACGTTAATTTTACACCGCAACTGGCCACAAGCACCGTCGCTGCATTCATCCTCAGTCGAAAGCGCCAGCAAAAAACGCAGGGCGGATCGAATGTTCATTTGTATGTTCAAACAATGGAAAGTGTAAAAAGAGAAGCAAGAGAAAATTCCAGCTTGAATGAAAATTTAACGTTTCAATCACAGTTTGTGGATGTACTGGAGCTATGCAATTTTAAACCATCTCGATTTAAACTAATTTCTTTAGAACGGCTTTTTGTGTTTAGTTTGTAATCCTTCCCCCACACCTCCAATGAGCACGGTTGGCTGCGTACGGTGCAAAATAAGTTTAACACACACACATACACGGTTGGCTACGTACGGTGCGAAAGAAGTTCAACGCACATACATATATACACGGTTGGCGACGTACGGTGCGAAAGAAGTTAAACACGCACACACGTGGTTTACGCTGCGTGCGACACGTGGTCAAGACTCCTGACACGCGCGGTGCCGCCCGTGCGCGCGATCGCAGGCTGCGCGTGCGCCCACGTCCTCGCGGCAGCGGCGGCCGCCACCACCACCGCCAGCTGCTGCTGCCGCTCGCTACTGCCGAGCGGCACGGCCTGGCCCTGCGACTGCTCCTCCTCCTCCAGGCTTCAGAGGTCTGAGGTCAACAAAGGCAACGCTGGCGGTGGGCGGCCAGTGGCGGCGCGGCAGCTCTACCGCGGCAGTCCCTCCCGCGGGAAGGAGAACCGCGCCGACGCTCTGGTCCACGGATCGCGCGTCGAGGAGATCCGTGCGCCAGAGGTGGTGAGGGAATTGTCGTTTGACCAGACTCGCGTGAGCTGGGGACGATCGGGGCGGTCGAGTAGATTTATTCGACAAGACGTTGCGATCGATTCCTTTTCTTTTGTGGTCACTCACACGGGGGGCCCGCTTTAAGGATGACGGCCGCCCCCTTCACCCACTCTGCCTTTTGCTCCCAGTGCGACACGGGCGATCGTTCTAACGGCGTCACCTCCGGCCCAGTGGCACACGCGGGGGCACGGTGGCGAGATTATTTTTTCCATCATTTTCATGTTATACCATTTGTAGAATAGTCTAACCCAGGGGTGAGCAATATTTAAAAGAAGAGCCATTTTTTGTCTTTGACCAAAATTGTTTGAGAGCTGCATCATGCGCAAAGCCACTTGTACACAAACACAGCAGCTGGTGTACAGCAGATGACAACAACAACACATTCTGACTTAGTAAACAACATAGGCGATTAAATAAACTGCATCTATTTAGTTGTTTTTCCCCTCTGAGTTATTCTTTAACAATACAGTTTGTACATTTTGTTGTTACCAAAACATTCCATAGTGACCCCATTCACCTGCCATATTTAAACAAATATTTTTACGTTCAACTATGCTTTAGATTTAAAAAAAATTTAAACGGCTGCCCACAGGGGGTTAGCCAAAGAGCTGCAAGTGGCTCCGGAGAGGCAGGTTGCCAGTCCCTGGTCTAACTGATGATCGGTAGAGAAATTAATTACTTAAATAATTGGACCTCCCAGCTCTGCTTGTGATCCACACCGAGCCCAGATGGGAGAGTCTCTCTAGGGAATCCAGACGGGACCCACCTGATCGCACCCTCAACCCCGTTCCCTCCTCGCGTTGAGCCGCAGCAGCAGCAGCAGCGCCCTGCGCCGGGCTGGGCTGCCGGGATGAAGAGCGATCCCCCACCATGCGCCCACGGTGCCGCCGCCACCGCCGAGGCCTCGGTGGGCGCGCCTCAGCTGGTGGTGACGCCGCTCAACACCAGGCGGCTGCAGCCGTACCGTCTCGCCACCAGCAGGGCCGAGGTGAGCATCGACTTGTTGTCCTCTATGCCCGCGACGGTTCATACCGCCCGTTCTAAGCCTGCTGGTGAATTGTCACGATCCGGGGGTCACGATTTGGGGGTCACGATTCGGGGGTCACCATCCAGGGTCACGATTTGGGAGTCACGATTCAGGGTCACGATTCAGGGTTATGATCTGGAGTCACGATCTGGGGTCATGATCTGGGGTCATGATCCAGGGTCACGATTCGTGGTCACAATCCGGGGTCACCATCTGGGGTCACGATGTTGGGTGATGGTTCGGGGTCACGATTCGGGGTTAGAATCCGGGGTCATGATCCGGGGTCACTTCACACAAAGATTAACGAATCTTGCTTAACGCTTTTCAGATAAGGCTGAGAGCCAAAATGTATGCCCTCCGTCTGTAACAGGGGGTGCAAAATAACACTTTAAACGATGATGCAATATGGACTGCTGCGTAGCTCTTAGGGACTTACCCTGTACCTCTGATTAGCATGGTTGGCTACGTATGGTGTGAACGAAGTTCAACATACACACTGTAGACAACCGGCCACATTGATTCAAGGATTGTCCAAAACTTTGGGAGATTGAATCCAGCAGTAAAACAATTCATGCAACAGCAGGAAATGTAACTGAACATCTCCATTCCCTTTCCGCTCGTCCCCACTGTTTCTGTTGCTGCGCCTCTCTTATTGAGTCCCATTCTCTCTCATACATTAAATTCCTCTCCCTTGAGTTACCCATTTTGGTTTGCATCGTCGGCATTGTTCATCTCATTAACCACGTGACGTGCGGTTCTGTTGACTTTGTGGGGAATCAGAATCGACCTATAATGCATGAATTGTCGCTTGACTTTGAGAGCACACTTTTGGGTCTCAGATGCAAGGCCGGTCTAGAGAAATTTGGTCTGCTGGTATACACAATGTTGGAAGCTCCGTCTGACTATACGAGTGCCTGCGTAGTATGGTACTGTCGTTATTTGTCTGGAATTGTGCACGCCTGTCATCAACGATCGGAAAACGACAACACCTCAGCTCTGCTGCTGCTGTTGCTCGTCATCGTTGTGACACAAAGCCCCGGCCTAGAGACGCGTGGCAACAGCGCTTTCCAGAAGGTGCCTGGGCCCTGTCGTGTGGAATAATTCTCCACCCGACAAACTCAAGGACAAAAACCTTGAGGTCAACTGCTTCAAGGGAGACCTGGAAATGAATTTCATGAACACGGCATGATGAGAGTAGCAATGCACGCAAGAGATGCTACTCGCACAATTTTGCGTTTCTTAAATGTTTACATTGCATCACATTACCATGATGAATGCTTTCCATTTTTGTTCCCTCATCAAATCTCTACACCATAGAGCTCGATGCATATCCGACCATCATCACCTAGCTAGTGAACTGAAACACGTGCACCAAGCTCTCAAGATGAATGGATATTCGGACCACACAATCCGTAAAGCGATCACCCCAACCGTTGGGAAAGAACCATCTGAGGACCCAATTAAAAGCATCATCTTGCCATACATAGCATAGGTCACCAAAAATATTTCCAAAATCATGAGTTAACACAAGATTCAGGTTCGATTTAACACAGTATATAAAATTCGTGATCTGATCTCATCTGTGAAGGATAGGATCCCTGATATGCAATACCCTGGCGTCTACAAACTAAGCTGTGTCTGCGGCAGCAGTTACATTGGGGAAATTAAGCGACATGTCTCGGACCGTGTTCGTGAGCATAAGGCAGATTTTAAACACGGTAGCACCAACATGTCGGCCGTGGCTGATCATTGTTTTAATGCGGTTGGCTCACACGAAATTGATTTCTCTAAGACGAAGGTACTTTGTAAGCCCACTGGCTATTAACAAAGATTCGTTCATGAAGCCATCCACATATACAGACACAGACACAATTTCAACCGAGAGGATGGGTACAAACTCAGCAGTCATTGCAAAGACGTCATCAACCAGTTTAAGTCATAACTGGCTGTGATGTTCCCATCCTGCCACCTTCCGATGTAATTTTTTAATTTTTTCCCCATGGCTTCGGCTCTCCGATTTCACATTAACAGGTTGAATTTGTCGCGCCAACGTGGCCACCTACGGACGCCGACCTCTACGCCGCGGTGGCTCTGCGATCTCACATTAACACGCTAATCTCTCACATTAACATCGCCACCCACGCACTCGTCGCGGACGCCGCTCGCCGATCTTACATTAACATGCTAATTTCTCACATTAACATCACTAGCCCCGCCCACTTCGTTTATGACCCTAGGACTACACCCTATAAAACAGTCTGCATTCAGCAGCTTTCCCCCTCTTTCCTCCTGAAGACGATCGCTTGTGTTCTGATCGAAACCTCGTAGTTTTTTGTTCATTTTATATTTAACATTTTTATTAATTTGTACCTATCTACGTGAGTTTACCAAAAAACCCAAAGAATATGAATTCCTGCAGTCACGAAAGCTTTAGGTCAAGATATATAACTCTTGTTAATTGTGAGTCCCCAGTTCACGTGGACCTGCCTCCCATTGGGCCTGCTAAGATGTACAGCTCTATTTACGCCCGACTATTTACGTCCTATGAAGCAGAGATTTTGCATTAAACGTCGCCTTATGTACCTTTTCCTTATATGGTTGGACGTTGTTGTTTACGAATGCTTTCCGTTTTTGTTGTTATTTGTCCTCGTGCACCGGTCTGCCAATGCGGCATCGCCACATAATATGTTCATGCGTGGAACAGGTGAGCATTACCTGCACAGGGGAAGTCTGCATGCAGTTTCTGAAGAGGAAGGAGCAAAGCGCGTGCGTTTACGAAATACATTGGATTTCGCCGGATGGGAGACAGGTGAGAAATGTTCAACTCCAGGTGGCCGGGTGACTCGGGGGGTCTCAGGGCACTGAAGACGGCACCGCTGAGACCCTGTGTCAGAACCCTCCGTGGCAGCTGCCACGGTGGCGAGATGTTAGCTACCTCACCCAGTATGTAGGAGGATGTGGGTTTGATCCCTGACCCTGACGACTGTTGTATGATTGGAGTTTGCGTGTCTCTCTCTCTCCGTGGTCACGTGGATTTTTCTCCATGACCTCTGTTTTTTCCCTCCGCATTTAAAAACATGTATACAGTATTTGGCTGCTAAAAAAATTCCACGTGATAAGCCACTGAGTTGAGATATCATTTGTGGCCAGATCGCTTCTGAAAAAGAGCTACCTGGTGAAATAAAAAAAATGGTTTCGTTAAATAGTGATTAAACCGGGTTCTTAATAATAAAGCTTTTTAGGGTTAGATCGTGTAAGTAGAAATGTTGTTAACCCATCACCACCCGACGCAGCCAATTAATAAGGTTTGTCACGTGAACAAAACATGCCAATTCGTTACTAGTTCAGCACATTGGTGTGTTGTTAAGCATTCAAATGCTCCATTATAATTCTTCACACGACCTGTAGTTGCAATTTTTTCAGCACACTGGTATATTGGGGAGTAAACCCACAACATTTACAATTTATATGATGACATTAAACCCCCCTCTGATCTTCGCACCTGATAGGCAAACAGTGATAACATCACCTTTACTCTATTTAAGACCGATAGCCAGAAGACTTCCTCACAATTATGGCAAATCGCCTGATGAAGCTCGTTGTAATCACTCGCAGAGAATTGTTGTACTCAAATTGTAAATGTTGTGGGTTTACTCTCCAACGAGCGGTGGCACACCGGTTAGCGCGCTGCACTACGAACCCAGCGACTCGAATTCGATTCCCGCTCACGCCGACATCAGTGATGATTATCTGAACCGGTTATGGGCCTCCCCTCGGTCTACTCAGCCTCAAATGAGTACCTGGTGTGGTGTGTAAACATCGCCACGACGGAGACAAAGGCGGCTAGGCATGGTGCTGGCCACCCACCCCCTCGTGTGCCATGCCGGCCTTCATAGATGCTGCTCGCTAACAGCACTTGCCCCTACAGTCTGTTATAGGCTATACGGGGGATCTTTGTCTTTGTATTCCTCCCCCCCCCCCCCACCTTCGCTCATCTTCACAGACCAGCGTGGTGAAGTACGGTCATATATCCCTCACGACCCGCAAGGCATGGGGGCGAGATATTCACAGCTGGCAGTGGATTGACGAAACAGACTGCACGCGTCCATTCATTTGAGTTCGCCTGTTTTAGAGCCCGATTGACTTTGTCTTTAATTGTGAAGCATCGTCGGGGTGATGCTCTGCATGAAGAGCGCTATCAGCCAGCACACGCACGCACGGTTTTTGTGTTGCAGGTGTGGATTTGCCAGCCGCCCGATGGGACGTCACTGGCGGAGGAGCCACTTTGCAGCCGCGACTCGGCCGTCAGCTACAGCCTGGACAAGCTGCCAGGTGAGGCAGAGCTAGGACACTGTGGCCAGCCACGATTGTGGCGAGATGTTAACTAACTCGCCTGGTATGCTGGAGATCGTGGGTTCGATCCCAAAACCTGACGATGCCTGCTGTATATTTGGAGTTTGTGTATTCTCTCTCTCTCTCCCCGTGGTCGTGTGGATTTTTCTCCGGGTCCTCCGGTTTTTCCCATCCACATTTAGAATCAACATTACGCGTTTAGACTATTTGGCTGCAATACATTTACACGTGATGATAAGCCACTTCGTTGAGCTATGTTTTATGGCCAGGTCGCTTCTAAAAAAGAACTACAGAGCTCAGTGGGCCTTACCTGCTAAAATAAAAATTGTTTATAGTTTGATGTCTGATGCATGTTTTTGGGTCGTGCCGGGCGCCAATTGGCACGGTGTCCTCTTAAAGTGTGTCCGGGTGTCCTGCTGACCACCCACCCCCTCATGTGCCGTGTCGGCCTGAATAGGTGCTCACTTAACAGCCTTCGCCCCAACAGTCTATTCAAGGCTACAGCGGAGGGATCTTTGTCTTCTCTGCGCCGCTGGGACAGGGTGATACTGGCCTTAATAGGTCCTCACTAACAGCTCTCACTCCAACAGTCTGTTCAAGGCTACAGTGGGGTGGGGGGGGGTCTTATTTGTCTCCTCTGCGCCGCTGGGACAGGGCGCTACTGGCCTTAATAGGTGCTCGCTTACAGCCGTTGCTCCAACAGTCTGTTGAAGGGATTTTTGTCTCCCATGTGCCGCTGGGACAGGGCGCTACTGGCGCAAGTACTGCTACGCGTCGCGATTCGTGGCTCTGGTGCGCTCCAAGACGCCCAAGGTGACGCTGAGCTCGGACGACGCGCGCTTCTCGCTCATGGACAACGGCCCCCCCGGCGATCTGGAAGCGCGCTTCCACGACGGTGAGCGGACGGCAGTAGTAAACCACGGGCCGGCCAAAAAAACTCGGATTCGAACCCAGGATCCCAGATGGTGCCAGCCCAGCGCTCTGACTATAAACTATTTTTTTATTTTACCAGGTAAGGCCCACTGAGCTGCGATATATCTCTTTTTCAGAAGTGACCTGGCTGTCACAAACGATAGCTGAACGAAGTGGCTCATCATGTGGAAATCTATAGCAGGCAAATGCTCTAAACGCATGTTTCTAAATTTGGAGGGAAAACTGGAGGGCCTGGAGAAAAATCCACATGACCGCGGGAAGAGAACACGCAAACTTCAAATATAGAGGCGTCAAGGTCGACATCGAAGCCACGGAAACATTATTATTATTTGGCATGTCACAAACCGCGCCCCCAGTGGTAAAGTTTGCTCGGTCTACGTTACTTTTGTTTGGCTTCCCAAGAACCTGACAGAAACAGATGGATCGATGATGGGTGATGAGAGATATCAACGTTACACGTTTGTTGTGCTGTAAATATGAGTTACGCTAAAAAATGTAACAATTATTTTTTTCTATTACCAGGTAAGGCTCACTGAACTTTTTTTTTTCAGAAGCGACCTAGCCATCACAAATATAGCCCAACGAAGTGGTGTTATTGCGTGGAACATTTATTGCATCCAAATACTCTAAAACGTGCCTTGATCCTAAATGTGGAGGGAAAGATCCACGCGACCACGTGGAGAGAGAACATGCAAACTCCAAATATATACAGCAGGCGTCAGGGTCCGGATTGAATCCACAACCTCCTTCATACCAGGCGAGGGAGATAACATCTCGCCACTGTCACGTGCCCAGAGAACACGTGTCTGTGTGCAAGGCTCCAAACCTACTAAAAACTGCACCTGTGATGTCCAACACAAGGTTAGAGGGAAATTGAGTTGGCAATTTGACCTTGAAGGAAAAAGAATGCTTCTGTAAAATTTTAGAGTTAACCAACATTCAAACGCTGTCCATAATAAAGATTATATCGGGTTAGATCGTGTAAATATAAATGCGACGTTAAACCCGCCACCACCCAACACAGCCAGTTAGTAAGGTTTGTCACGTGAACAAAATGTGTCAATTCGTTAACGAGTTCAGCACATCGGTGTGTTGTTAAGCATTAAAATGCCCCATTAAAATCCTTCACACCACCTGTGATTGCAATTTTAATACGTCTTTGGTGTGTATTCCCAAATGTGCGGAAGCTTCGCATAGTTGCGTGGTTGGCGATGGGACCTGGTTCAAGGAATTCAATTTTGGGGCCCCGCACTGTGCAATTTCCACCGCTCTCCACAGCCCCCACGCCTGGGCACCGGTGCAGTTGCCCTGCCCGCGCACGTGATGGCCGTGCCGCTAGCTACACGGGCGCAAAATAAAACGAGGCAGTCATGTTGGAAGACACATCTTCCCCCCCTCCGCCAAATTATATTTTAATCGTGCTCTTGGCATCATGTCGTGAGATTGTAATATCGTGAGATAAGGATATTTGAGTTAGGGACTCTTGCAGGAGGCAGTGTGACATCGCCCCAATTTAGGGAATAGCTTCTTGAAGTGGACATGAGAGAACTACTTCTGAGGTCCCTTCATTTTTTGTTCCTTCCACCGATGTACATTCCCACGACTGCCAGTACGCATTTGATGCAAGGCAAACCGAACATATTTCAGTGCAAATTGATGATGATGATGAAATCGAATCCCTGGCTCCATTTGGAATTGGCGCTGTTGATCTGAAAGCACAAGGCTATCATCACGAAGAAAAGCCCTGCTGCATCTCGCAGACACGTCTCGCCACCGTTACGTGCCCAGAGAAGATGTGTCTGTGTGCAAGCTTCTAAACCTATTGAAGACCGCACCTGTGATGTCCAACAAAAGGTTAGAGGCAATTGAGTTGGGCGGTTGACCTTAGACCATCAAGGGAACAACAATGCAGTTTTGCAGAAGGTGAGCGACGTTTTCTCTATCCCAATCAAAGAATTTGTGGTTTAATCATCGGTGTTGCCAGCGCCGCGCCTGGCCGCCTGTGTCTCCCCAGTGCTGACCTGCGTGTTCTGTCCTCCAGGGGTCAAGGTTCTCATCACGAACGGCTTCGTGAGCGTGACGGAGGCGTCCGGGCTCACCCGCACCTTCCAGTCTCCCTGCGACGCATCCCAGCCGGACGGTGGTGGTGGCGGCGGCGGCGCCACGGGCGCCTACGTCCGGCGGTCCCTGCAGGTGTGAAGGAAGGCCGCGGCACCGCTTTGTGTTGTCACAAAGACAAAGATCCCCTGTGTAGCCTTAACAGACTGTTGGGGCAAGTGCTGTTAGCGAGCAGCACCTATGAACGCCAGCACTGCGACACACAAGGGGGTTGGTGGACAGAACCACGCCCTGCTGCCTTTGTCTCCCCAGTGGCGATGTTTACGACACACCGTACCAGGTACTCATTCGAGGCTGAGTAGACCTAGGGGAGGCCCAGGACCGGTCCACCACGACCACTTGCAACGTCGTCTCATGGCCAGGGCGCTCGACCAGTCGAGCGAGCGGCTCGCAATCGGGAGGTCACAAGATCACATCCCCTTTGGAAGTTGACTTGGCCCATCATCCCTCCGTCTGGGGGTCGATTATAATCTGAGTGCCACTTTGTGGGGAAATTAACTGTGGTTCTATGGAAGAAAAAAAAAACTTTCCCCCACCATAGGAATGTGGAATATCCACCACTGGCTCAGGGGCTGTAAATGGGAAAACGAGCATTGTCCCGATGTTCTTCATTTGAGCAGCAAATCACTTTGACTTTTGATGGAAGAACATTAAAACCTCTTTTAACGACAACCCCTGTTAACGACTAATCGCTTAACAACGGGCCTCCATAGAGCCCAATGCGTAGTGTATAGTATAGTGTATAGTAGTGTATAGTGTAGCGTATAGTAGTGTAGCGTAGAGTAGTGTAGTGTATAGTAGTGTAGTATATAGTAGTGTAGTGTACAGTGTAGTGTAGTGCCTCCATAGCGCCCAATGTGTTAGTTTACCGACCATTCCCCTGTTAACGACAGGCTGTTGTAGGTACAGTAAATATTAATTAATGCATTGATTAACCATGTTTCCTTTAATGTGTTTATAAAGTTGTTTTAGTATCTTTATTTATTAACATCCATTGTTTAACTATTATAAAGTAAGTTTTTGGGGTGAAAAAGGGTAATTTTCGATGCTATCGGAACGAATTAAGCCTTTAACATTTGTTTCCTAAACTCTCTTAACCACCAAATTACTTAACAACCGGTTTCATGGAACCAATTAACCATCGTTAAGAGGCGTTCTACTGGTACAGAAATTCAGTCTTGAGACTACCATGGACCCACTTGTTGTACTGCCATAACACGGCCACACAACACTTGGGTTCTCATATCCCTTTGGAGCTTCGAGTGTGGCTTTATTTCAAGATCCCCCCCTGGTTTACTGCCAAATGCCACACCAACTATTTAACATTTTCTTATTTTACCAGGTAAGGCCCACTGGGGATATACAGTATAGCTATTTTTCAGAAGCGACCTGGCTATCACAAATTATAGCTCAACGAAGTGGCTTATCATAATGTAGATATTTATATCAGTCAAATACTCTAAATGCACGTTGATTCTAAACATGGAGGGAAAAACCGGAGGACCCGGAGAAAAATCCACGCGACCACGGGGAGAGAGAGAGAGAGACACTGAAACTCCAAATATACAGTCGTCAGGGTCGGGATCGAACCCACGACCTCCTACATACTTGGCGAGGGAGTTAACATCTCCTAGCCACCACTGCGCCACACACTCGTGAACAGAATTGGCCAACCATTCCGGAATGGCGTTGACGCGCAGTGAGGATTATTATTCCTCACAGCTTCGCAAATTTGTGAGTTTCACAAATCTCTAAGTGATCCATCAACTGTTGCATCAAAATACTTGGTTATAAGCATGCACTAACTAACACCTCATCATCATCATCACGATCCATGGGCAGATAGCTCCGTAGGAGTAGTATCAGTAGGTGTCCACTGCACATTTCGTCATTTGTTTCCACTTTCCTGTCTGTCTCTCAGTGCCAATATGCTCAAGTCGTGGCAACGTCTTCTGGCACCATTCTCTTATGTCGTGGTCAAGCCATTCTCTGTTAGCTCTCTCTCCGGTTCCTTCCATTTTTTCCGAACAACACACTATCAATTTTTCTGTTGTTGTTGTCCATCCTACGTAAGTGTCCAAATAGTGCCAGTTTCCTTCTCATCACTGCCTGCATCATCATCATCAGGCTGTCTTCTTCAACGTGCAACCTTTTTCTCACTTCTACGTTGGTCACTCTTTGGGTCCAGATTAGATGCGGCATCCTTCTGTGGCGATACATTTCGAGTGCCAATATGTTATCTTTGTTAGTCTTTTTCAATGTCCAAGTCTCGCACGCACGTTCTTAAGATGTCAGTTTGGTCTTGCAGCTGGTTTGCTTGCTTCTCCACATGCGTGCAAATCAAAGCTATCAAAGGTGCCGTTTTGATGAGGACAAGTCCCACGTTTCATAAAGGCTGCGGCGAATTCCTGAAGTATTTGTCCTGGATTCAATCATTTGTTCCTGCAGGATTGGCCAATTATATGGGCAAAGGGCAGGGATAGTAGTTGAGTGGCTTTGTAAAAGTTGGTGGGGTTGACCCATGTATGAATTACCCGTGTAGTATCGATAGTTAAATTACAATGTGCAATTTTATTGAGTGACTACTGCTGTGTTGTCTTGGTGTGGTCTGGGACTGCTTTTTATGTTGTTTTGCTGCCTTGTCCAAGCTTGAGAATTGGTTTACTTCTGCAATTAAAATGTGTGTATACTTTATCGATTTAACGTGTTTATTTGTAGTGATTTGCTTACATTTTGTTTTACTGTGCACTCTATCGTGTTTTTTTTTTCGTGCTGTTTGTTGCTGTAATTTTCTGAGCCGCCCCCAACTGCTAGATTAACTTCGTAGCTCATCGGATTCCTCTCCAATATAAATAAACATTCTGATTTTGAAAAGGGGGCGGCCAGGTTATCAGCTCAACGCGCACGCTCCGGTGGAGCCTCCCAGGAACGTGGCGACCCTAAATCTAGAGCGGATACCCCAACGCACGAGTGTCCGTGCACGTCGCATTGATTAAACGAGCTCGCTCGCTGCTGCTGCTGCTGCTCCCCGCAGGCGTGGCAGCAGTGCCTGCAGCTCGAGGAAATAATCTCCCTGCAGGAGCAGAGCAGCGGCTCGGGCGCCAGCTTCTTCCCTGCGTCCGTCAGCCGGTACGTTCTGGGCACGAATGAACGGTGGGACAGACGGATGTGCAGACGGACGGACATATGTACGAACGGACATACGTATGGACGGACGGACATACGTAAGGATGGACGGACATACGTACGGACGGACGGATGGACATACGTAAGGACGGACGGATGGACATACGTACGGACGGACGGATGGACATACGTAAGGACGGACGGACGTACGGACAGATGTACGGGCGGATGGCCGGACGTACGGACATACGTACGGATGGACATATGGACATACATACAGACGTACGGACGTACAAACATGCGTACCGACGATTGGACATACAGACGTACGTACGGATGGACGGAGCGTCGTCGCCCACTCAGCCTGCCTCCACGACGCGGCACTCCGGCGCTGAACCTCATTCCAAGTAAGCACTTTTTTTTTAAATGTCATCATAACAAAAAGGCTGACAAAAAGGGGAAGGTCGTGGTGCTCCGGCGATGGGGGTTGAAAAGATACGTATGGGCGCCGCGGTGGCTAGGAGATGTTAACTACCTCGCCTGGTATACAGGAGGTCGTGGGTTCGATCCCGACCCTAATGCCTGCTGTATATTTGGAGTTTGCATGTCTCTCTCTCCGTGGTCAGGTGGATTTTTCTCCAGTTCCTTCAGTTTTTCCCTCCAGAATTTAGAATCAACGTCACGCGTTTAGAGTTATTTGGGTGCTGCATTTAAATGTCCACGTGATGATAAGCCACTTCGTTGAGCTATAATTTGGATGGCCAGGTCGGTTCTGAAAAAGAGCTACATACAGTAGTCTCTCAGTGGGCCTTACATCTGGTCAAATTAAATCAAAAAATGTTTTGTTTCATCTTATAAATAGTAGCACAAAGGCAATTGCACTTTAGATTTGATCTGCAGTTGATTAAATGATCCCATTTGTATTCATATCCAAGTTGCATATCCATACCTGTCAACCCATACGGTTTACCCATATGCTTGTACAGGGAAATTGAGTCTTTCAGGTCCATACGGTGTAAAGCTGTTTCAATACGGGAATTTATTTTTGTCTATTTGTTTGTGATGGGACTTTGTAGGAAGAACGTTGAGATTTATAAGGGCACGGGGTGACCAATAAGGTCTGAATTGGTCTGTAATATGGTAGGCACTGATAAGGGGTTGACAAGTATGCATATCGGACCCTTTGTCAGGAACGCAACCCGGCTGCTATGCCATTGTTTCTCTGGGCAAATCGGTCGCGACTCATGCCGTTTCGCCCCATGGCACCTTTTCTAGGAACATAACCCCCAAGTAGGACCCGGGACTGCGTGAAATTGGGAATGTAAAGTATAGTTCTGTACGTACAAGCCGATGATCACTATCGCCTGGAGATTTCCATAGGCCCCGTCATAGACCCTGGAAGCTGAGCAGGGATAGGCCTGGATAGTACCTGGAAGGGCAACAAGAAACAGGGGCAGGAGGCCTAGTGGGCATATCGGCAACATCCATTGTTGGCCTGACCAATGCGGTGAAGTATGGTCGAATCGCCCTTACTGCCAGCACAGCATCGGGAAAGCAACTCGTCGAGCAGTGGATTGACAAACATGCTTGGTATAAGAACATGTCTTGGCCATTTTGACAATAAAACAGAGGGTGTTAAAACAACAAAATAGATACTTTTGTAGGGAACAAAGTCTGCATTAACCACACGTACTTGTGGCAAAACATGCAAACAAACGTGCTCTGATTATAATGGATTGTCTTTGAAACTGATTGGCCTACACCAGAGACAGCCTTATTTATTTTTACACGCGTTTTATTAACTCTGTTGTTGTATCCTCAAATCTTCTCAGTTTTTACCCACTTCCCAATGTGGTATCGACTGCAAACTTGGTATACTTATGTCATACTGATGACAATATATCATAGAAAAATTTAAAACATATATTTTAAAACATTCTTTTTTATATGTTAGATGTTTCGGCTTGGGTCTAATTGTCCACGCTCAACTGACGTTGGCTGTAATTGGCCACGGTCCCCCTTACGTTATGGCAAGCTTCGGGGCCACTTCCTGGAGTCGTGGAGTTCTTCCATTGCTAGTACGGTACATTTCATTAAAGCGTGTTTAAAAAAACTTTTATATATATATTATTTATTATGGCCTAGTCTCACCACCAGTGTTAGAACAGAGAACACCAAAAGGCAAACAGAACAAAGACAATGCAAGTATCAGAACACTTAGATGTAGCTCGGGCCGAGCAGTTATATCTATGGGATCATTTTGCCAGTATCCAAAATTATGAAAAATAAGACTCGGTGTTACCCTATCTGGCAATAAAATAGGTGTTAAGATGTCCAAACACCAAAATAGAAACCTTTTGCAAGATATCAAGTCTGTATTAACCACGCATATCTGTGGCAAAACATGCAAACAAACGTCCGCTGATAATGGCATGTACACGTATACAAAAAAAAAACAGGGTTTATAAACTGCACTTGGAACGCGCTGCGAAAGGTGCGCATTGTAAATACAAAACGGAGGGTCCTGGGTGTGGGGCGTCTCTCTCAAAAGATGATGACGACGCGTTTGCCATCCAATGGAGGGAAGCGATGCCACCAGTGACGGACTGGGACTAATAAACATCGGCCCCAGGCATTCGTAAGCACACCGGCACACATTTGGGCTGTGTGCAATACGTTGTTTTTGTTTAAATTAGTTTGTTGTGCGACAAACTGTATACGAGCTAGATTTGCGATGTGACGCATTGGCGTGATTTTGCCGTGCGACACTCATTGGCCCATTTGGTCTGGGTCCAAAAAACAAATGGGATGCCGGTGAGGAAGATTCATTGGCGCTGTCCAATATGGAACTTGATACCAACTGAGACTGTAAATAAGCAATAAAACGTACAAATTAGAGGTAAAAGTATAAGAAAAAAATGACTGATCACATTTGCAATTTCCCAACACAGAGTGGACCAAACCTACCGGGCATTTGCCCTACGGACCACTGTCCTAACGACCATTGCACGTTGGTTAGCGCACTCAGGCTGTAAACTCAGGCGACTTGATCTCGATTCAAGCTACGTCCGAAAAACTGGTTGTCGGTCCTCCCTTCTTCACGAGCTCACACCGACCAGCGTGAAGTGTATGCTAAAATAAACTCTCTTAACTGACATGGCATGGGGTGGAGGGTGGGGGGAGTCTTTATCCAGCAGTAGATTGACAAAGGGCTGTCATGTATTTATTATTATTATTTAATTTTACACCAACTCCCACCTCCAGTGGTAATGTTTGCTCGGTCAACGTTACTTTTGTTTGGCTTCCGAAGAACCTGACCGAATTAGAAGGGTTGGGTGATGAAATATATCTATGTTACATTTTTGATGTGCTGGAAATATGGGTTATGATAACAAATGAAAGTAAACCTTTTTTTTGCTTTACCAAGTAAGGCCCACTAAGTTATTTAGCTCTTTTTCAGAAGCGACCTGGGTATCACAAATGATAGCTTAACGAAGTGGCTTTCATCACGTGGAAATTTATGGCAGCCAAATGCTCTAAAAGCATGTTTCGAAATGTGGAGGGAAAACCCGGAGGGCCTGGAGAAAAATCCAAGCGACCACGGGGAGAACACGGGGAGAACACGGGGAGAACACGCAAACCTCAAATATACAGACGTCCGGGTCGGGATTGAACCCACGACCTCCTGTATACCAGGCAACGGAGTTAACATCTCGCCACCGCGGTGCCTCCAATGCAATGGCTGATGTAAACCGGTTTCGTTGGTATGTGTTCACCACAGGGGGCGGTAGCGTAGTGGATGGCGTGCTGCACTGTGAACCCGGCGACCCGATATCAGCTCAGCATTAAATGAGTACCTAGTGCGGTGTGTAAACATCAGCAGTGGGGAAACAAAAGCGGCCGGACGTGGTGCTGGCCACCCACTCACCTTAGGCGCTTGCGAACAGCACTTGCCCCAACAGTCTGCTCAAGGCTATGTGGGGGAACTTTGTATTTGTGTGCGTGTGTCTGTGTTCGTAGGCCATCTGTGGTGAACACCGAGCTGCAGTCCAAACCAGCGTTGGATGGGAATGCCCTGGAATTGGGATTGGCCCAAGCGAATATATAATATTGCCTGCATTGTGGGCAAGTGGCTCACTTGAGCTACAGTTATTTTCCGTTCAGTCAATGGTCTGATTTTAACCCTTTCCATTCCGATGACGTACATGCATGTCATTGAAAACTGATGACGTATGTGTACGTCATCAGTTTTCCTTCAGATTTGGAAGAAAATCTAAAATAAGATAATTTTATCGGTGACGAAGCTCCCACAAGGCCGTGCGGGAGAGCGTGTGGCACAGTTTGGCGCCAGCTATCATAGAGTGCGGTCGTGTGGCTACGGTTCTCTGCGGTGAGTAAGATGTCTTTAAAAACAATGGCACTACTATTACGCCTCTCTAAGTAAAATCAGCGCTGAACCGCTCGCGCATTCCGACATTCGGTGGTGAACGGGACACCACCCACCCTGCAACTTACAGACGTCTCGGAACGGGGAAAGGGATGAACTTACGGTTGCTGTCCAGTAATTTTGAAGGGAGCATTCATTACCAAAAGCACCCCTCTCTGCCGCGAAGTGCACATTAGCAATCACATGGTAGGCAAATGCACTAATTAGAGCCGGGCGTCCTGGTGGGCCGGCGTAGGCCGTTTCTTTCGCTATTGTCGGATGTAAACGATTTGCGGCAATGGAAACTGAGTGCGTTGATGAAAATAAATATTCATGTGCACGTCACATAGGGGTCACAGCACATTGAAGGAGTTCATCTAACAATAGAGTCACCTTGCCTATGCATTGCTTGAGTGTACGAGAATACGCCAAAGATATTTTTAGAAATTACAATCATGGGTGATGTGAAGGGCTTTGGTGTAGTCTTTTAAAAGTTAACTCTGTGCATTCTCGTAAAAAAAACTTTTTTCCTTAAATGTCTGAGGTCGACGAACCAATACAGTGCATTATAGCCTTGTATCGGACATTACCGTTCCATTTTTCAGTCGGATCAGAAGCTTGCACACAGATGAATATTTTGCAGGCGTTTAACAAACTTAATAACTAGCAATTGTGTCTCATAGCATAATCAATACTAGCAATTATGTTTTTATAAAATAATCGCTGTTATTAAGTTTGTTTGTGTCTTTTATTTTTAAAGCGGAATCCTTTGATGATGTCGTCTGGCGGCCGAGTTGCCCCTTTTTAAAGAGCTTCTTAGCTCTACGGGCTTTACTCGGTGGGAAATACACTTCTTCTGATTCTAAAATGAGGTGTAACCAAACAGATGTTAGTAAACAAACGTGAGTGATCATGAAATGAAAAGGCAATATCGCCCGAAATCCCACAAAGTGCCTTAATGATGAGGGAGAAATTAAACGCTCACGCACGGTGCTTTAATTTGATGAAATATTTGCTGACGCAGCAACAATTACAATTCCCATATGTACACGATGACGTTTGAGTCCTGTACGAACAGCACTAAAGCATAGAGGAATGCATAGAGAAGTGTATGCAGATGCGGCTATGTACGGCGCAAAAGAAGTTCAAACATACATAGATCCATACAGGTGAATAGTTGAAAAGGTTGGATTTGTATGTGTGTACAGTGAGGGGAAAAAAGTATTTGATCCCCTGCTGATTTTGTACGTTTGCCCACTGACAAAGAGATCAGTTTATAATTTTAATGGTAGGTTTATTTCAACAATGAGAGACAATAACAACAACAAACTCCAGAAAAACGCATGTCAAAAATGTTATAAATTGATTTGCATTTTAATGAGGGAAATAAGTATTTGACCCCCTCTCAATCAGAAAGATTTCTGGCTCCCAGGTGTCTTTTAACGAGCTGAGATTAGGAGCACACTCTTAAGGCAGTGCTCCTAATCTCAGCTTGTTACCTGTATAAAAGACACCTGTCCACAGAAGCAATCAATCCGATTCCAAACTCTCCACCATGGCCAAGACCAAAGAGCTCTCCAAGGATGTCAGGGACAAGTTTGTAGACCTACACAAGGCTGGAATGGGCTACAAGACCATTGTCAAGCAGCTTGGTGAGAAGGTGACAACAGTTGGTGCGATTATTCGCAAATGGAAGATACACAAAAGAACTGTCAATCTCCCTCGGCCTGGGGCTCCATGCAAGATCTCACCTCGTGGAGTTGCAATGATCATGAGAACGGTGAGGAATCAGCCCAGAACTACACGGGAGGATCTTGTCAATGATCTCAAGGCAGCTGGGACCATAATCACCAAGAAAACAATTGGTTACACACTACACCGTGAAGGACTGAAATCCTGCAGCACCCGCAAGGTCCCCCTGCTCAAGAAAGCACATATACATGCCCGTCTGAAGTTTTCCAATGAACATCTGAATGATTCACAGGACAACTGGGTGAAAGTGTTGTGGTCAGATGAGACCAAAATGGAGCTCTTTGGCATCAACTCAACTCACCGTGTTTGGAGGAGGAGGAATGCTGCCTATGACCCCAAGAACACCATCCCCACCGTCAAACATGGAGGTGGAAACAATATGCTTTGGGGGTGTTTTACTGCTAAGGGGACAGGACAACTTCACCGCATCAAAGCGACGATGGACGGGGCCATGTACCGTCAAATCTTGGGTGAGAACCTCCTTCCCTCAGCCAGGGCATTGAAAATGGGTCGTGGATGGGTATTCCAGCATGACAATGACCCAAAACACACGGCCAAGGCAACAAAGGAGTGGCTCAAGAAGAAGCACATTAAGGTCCTGGAGTGGCCTAGCCAGTCTCCAGACCTTAATCCCATAGAAAATCTGTAGAGGAAGCTGAAGGTTCGAGTTGCCAAACGTCAGCCTCGAAACCTTAATGACTTGGAGAAGATCTGCAAAGAGGAGTGGGACAAAATCCCTCCTGAGATGTGTGCAAACCTGGTGGCCAACTACAAGAAACGTCTGACCTCTGTGATTGCCAACAAGGGTTTTGCCACCAAGTACTAAGTCATGTTTTTCAGAGGGGTCAAATACTTATTTCCCTCATTAAAATGCCAATCAATTTATAACATTTTTGACATGTGTTTTTCTGGATTTTTGTTGTTGTTATTCTGTCTCTCACTGTTCAAATAAACCTACCATTAAAATTATAGACTGATCATTTCTTTGTCAGTGGGAAAACGTACAAAATCAGCAGGGGATCAAAAACTTTTTTCTCTCACTGTATATATGTTAAACTTCTTTCGCACCTTACGTACCCAACCGTGCTAATCGGAGGTGCGGGATTTTTGAGGGAAATGAAAGTTGCGTCGTGCAAAAATAGGAAACAGGGACGAAACTTAGAATGAAGCCGATGTAAATGCTCACGATGAAAAACATCGCCCTGTACGTGAAGAAGTTTGGAGTTTTCTAGAAGTTGACGGTTGTGGGCAGCTAATTATATATCTGTTGCACATGCAATTAAAATAAAAAGCAGCATGTACATTGCACACTGGTGAAAGTGTTGAATGAGCTGCGTGGTACTTATATTTAATTGGATCTTGGCCACTCTCCTGGTAAGGTCAAAAAGAAAAATGTCATGCCAAGGGCAATAATTATGAATTAAATGTGTGCGTGTGATGTGCTGGTTGTGACTTGCATTATTTTTTTACTTTTGCTTTGAATTACATGTACTGTGTGTGTGTATATAGTGTTATATTTGTGTGTATCATGTACCGCAACACAATCAAATAAAATAAAAGTTATAAAACCGTGGATGTGTATGTGTGCTCATTACTAACATGGCATCATCAGATAACTTTGTAAACTAAAACTAAACTATTTTTATTTTACCAGGTAACTACCTCGCCTGGCATACAGGAGGTCGTGGGTTCGATCCCGACCCTGACGATGCCTGCTTCTGTATATTTGGAGTCTGCATCTCTCATCATCGTCGTCATCACGGTGGCTCGGAGATGTTAACTACTTCGCGTGGTATACAGGAGGTCGTGGGTTCGATCCCAACCCTGATGCCTGTCTGTTTGAAGTTTGCGAGTTCTCACCATGGTCGCGAGGATTTTTCTTCAGGCCATCCGCTTTTCTCTCCACACTTAGAAACATGCGTTTAGAGCATTTAGCTGCAATACATTTCCACGTGATGAGCCAACTTCATTGAGCTATCATTTGTGGCCAGGTCGCTTCTGAAAAAATAAAAGCTATATCGCTCAGTAAGCCTTACCTGGTTAAATAAAAAAAATCTTAAGTTAATAATTTAATTGAGGGACCTTGCCAAAGAGGGCATACACTACGGAGACTAATGTACGTATGTACGTTGAACTTATTTCGCACCGTACATAGCCAAGCGTGCTAATCGGAGGTGCGGCGGAAAGACAACAAAACTAAACACAAAAAGCAGTTCTAAAGAAACAAGTCTTCAATGTAGAATTAAAAGTGCATAGCCCCAAGTGCGTCAAAAAACTGTGATTGAAGCCTTATTTTCTTTATTCAGGATGGAATTTAGTCGTGCTCCTCGTTTATTATTTTTTACTACACTTTCCATTATTTAACAATAATGCCCGGACTGTTTAAACGTTAAAGCAAATGAACATTTGATTCGGCGTGCGTTTTTTTCGCAAGTGTCCAAGGAGCTCTGGGTTTGATTGTTGCAATTGCGGGAACAGTGCAATGCTTTTGCCCACCCCTACCACCGTGGCTCACGTTGGTGATCGAGTGCAGGCAGGGTGGACTGCCCTGGGACCCCCCCCCCCCCCACGGACTGGAGGGGCCAAGGTGGCGTGGCTTCAGAGTGGGAGAGAAATTGAACAGGAGGAAGAGGGGAGCGCGCACCCAATTTCATCGCTAGCATCAGGGCCCAAGTGTCTTTTTTTGTTGGGTGCAATTGTGAACAACAGCCATTGTCAGACAGTAGTACATCGAATCGGCACTCGGCTCACCTACAAGGCGTGTGGTGAAGTTAGGAGATGTCCCGTGTGTGAGCTCGGGGCATTTGAAGACCTGGCGACGTGAATCGGTGATTTGGCCGACAATGTGTTCATCAGGGAAGCAGTTCAGTATCCGGACAGCAGAGTGAAGAAGAAGATGGGAGATTCTGTCCAGGGAGCAATGTGCTGGCAACGGGGAGGAAGAGTGGGGGGGGGGGGGTAGGACGTGACCTGGCAGGGGTTGTGCATAATCGGTTGGCATGGCATCTTGTTACATGGCATCTTGTTACAGCAGCCCTTTTGCCCACTTCAGCAATTGTTTCTTGTTGTGGCTGTCCCACCTGATGACGGACGCTTGTGTTGCGCCCGAAACGTCGTGATTTATTTTATTTTATACCCACATGACTTTACCGAAAGAACCAAAGAGTATGGATCCCTGCAGTCACGAAAACTTCAAGTGTAGATTGGCATGGCGTCTTTCATGTGGGGGGTGGAAGCATGGCCGGAAGGTCTGTGGGGGGGGGGGGGCAGTGCTCGGTGTAAATTTTGTACTAAGGGATTGTGACAGCAGCGACGTGTCGAAGGTGATGCAGGCTGGGGATGGTGAATTAAACCGTGCTGCTACGTTACTGTACTAAGTTCATGTCCAACTTAGTTTGCCCACCGCTCCACCATCTCCCCCTAACCCCACCGGACAGAACAAATCTCTTGCTCGTTCACAGTGTGACAATGTGTTTGCTCTCGCATTTTTAAGCGCCCTTCGTGGTCGATGTTCGTAACTTTTTTTTTCGACAAGCAAAGGGGCCGTCCATAAATGACGTCACGCATCTCGGGGGGGGGGGGGGGTCAGACATTTGTGACGATGTGTGACGAGGGGGGGTGAGAAATGTGACGTCACATCAAAATGCGCAGCTTTACAGCCAACGTTAGTTGAGCGTGGACAATAAGACCCAAGCCGAAACATAACATATAAAAAATAATATTTTAAAATATATGTTTTTTTTAATATTTTTATGATAGAAGATAGTATTGTCATCAGTATGACATAAGTATACCAAGTTTGCAGTCGATACCACATTGGGAAGTGGGTTAAAATTTAGTTACAAGTTTTCAGGATACAACGACAACAGACAGAGTGAGTTAAATAAAAGCGTGAAATAATAAAAAAACCGCCATTTACTCTGGCCTCCTCTCTCTCGTTGTATCCTTGATTTGATTCGGCAGATGGAATAAACGCCCCGAGCGACACGCACGTGAAGTGTCGCCTCTTTTTCAAGCGTGACCTGTGTGCAGTGCCGGATTATCCTAGTAGCACAAGTAGCAGCTACATATGTAGTAGCTACGGGCCCCGCACTTTCAAGGGCCTCGCGCTAAATGCTTTCAAGCTGTCAATTCCGGTTCATTGATTCTGCACTGGCTCTATTACTATAGTACTATCCCGCCTTCAACTTTTACGAACGACTGGGTGTTTAAGGTTAGTGATTTGTCGTATTATCTGACTGTATAGCAAATGAAAAAATACAATTACTTTACTATGCAAGTAAAACATTTCTTTTAATATTTGTTTTTTTTAATTTAGGTTCCCTTCATAATATTTGCCACAGGCCCCGCACGAGCTTCATCCGGCACTGCCTGCGTGTGGCCTCTACAGTGAGGGAAAAAAGTATTTGATCGCCTGCTGATTTTAAACGTTTGCCCAATGACAAAGAAATGATCAGTCTATAATTTTAATGGTAGGTGTATTTGAACAGTGAGAGACAATAACAACAAAAAAATCCAGAAAAACGCATGTCAAAAATGTTATAAATTGATTTGCA